CATCTTGGGACTCGTAAGTTTTGAAAATGATGAGTCCAGACTGATTATGATGAGTCCAGGACTCGCCTTAATGAGAACCCGGGGCTCGACAAAAAATTGAGAGACAAGTTGAACCCCGTCTGACAACACATGTAAACCTTTGATCCCATACATGTATACCAAATATCGTATTACTTATAATATGCCACAAATTCACTTGATAAAATCACTACACATGTAGTTTTTTAAGGAGCACTGAGCAATGAAAATGGAATAAGGACAATGGACATATGTCTTGACAGAAACTTCTAAACATAAGGATTCCTTATACATTATCATGATTATGATTTTAAGTATGACAAATCCATGATTTCTACCCTCTGAAATATAAAACTTCATATAAATAGTAAATGTTGTTGTCCGATTAGCATTTCATGTCTTGCATGTCTTGTATTCTGAAACTTTTGTCACAGACAGGACATAACTGGAGACCTTGGAGGAATTAAGCCTACTTATACATGTTATAAGCCTCATGGTGATAGTCAGTAATTTATCTGGAGGAAAATGAACAAGGAAGATACAAAAAGTGAAGGTAGTCTTCAGTTCCAGAACAGACATAGTTGTCAGAATTTTTTTTTTTAATTATCTGGTTTATCCGTTCAAATAAAGACAGAAGAAATCTATCTATTACTAAAATATAACTGTTCTGAACTGCATTTTATTTAATAGACGTATAGCACTGTCAACATGTACAATGTACCTGACAACCACCAAGCAACAATCTTTTAGTTCACAAGTACAACAGCTTGATCCATATGTGATCCAAAATGTGCAGAATGCTATTATGGTGGGAGGTTCAAATTCACTTTATACTTTTCTACTTTGAATATTATACCCTATATCACCTTCATTGCTGGTGATCATCATGTCATGTACATGTAGAACTTATTTTTAAACTTCTATAAATGGAAACCAGATTGGTCAAATATGTCTTCATAACGAGTTGAAAATATGGAATGTCTTGGACTAGGTACTGTGGCTTCCAAAGATTTAAAGATTGTCTGATGGTCTTAAATCTGTATTGTATATGACTGTTACATGTATAAATGAAAAAGGCTTTTATATCTTTGCTTTTGTACAGACATCATTGACATTTATATTAGCAAACAATTTGCATTTCCTGGCATATCTATTTGTTTGGCGGCTGAACATTTCCAAATGCATGTTTCATGTTTTTCACATCCTTTTTAGTTTTCTGATGAAAATGCTGTTGCTTCCAGTTGATACAGATTCTATAGCTGAGCCTGTGTCTGGCCATTTCTTTAATGTCTAGCATGTGTGTGAATTATTCACAGTGACTCTCAATTTCATTTCCCCAAACTTTCTGTGTCTGATTCCTTTCAATGAAGCTATATAGACCAGGGAAGAATGTCTGCTCCTGAAACATGTGAAATATCAATTTAAATATATTTATGGAATACTCTGATTTCAAAACAATGCTGACTCCATTATAAAGCTTATTTAAGATTATTTAACATCCGTTTCAGAGGAACTCATTTAATTTTTTTCATTAATAATTATTACTAGCTTTTCCAGACTAAAAGATGAAGAAAAAATGTACATGCATGTTTGTTTAGGTTTTCCCTACCTACATGTACATACCCTGTTACTTATTTAATACTAGTGTTTATTCAAACAAATTTTAATTGATATGTTCCTCTGGTTAATGACAGAATGTTTTATTAAATAAATGTTACTTACAGATATACATGTAGGTTATCTAAAAGTAAATTTATAAATTGACACTGTGAATCCATTTTTAGGATCCACATCTTCTTATCTTTGAACATTTTTTGGGGAAATAAAAACACTGGCCCTTGAGTAATCCTTTTTGGGATTAGTCCTTGAGGTGTGGATTCCCTAATCAAATTTGTATGTACATGTATTTATTATCAGAATCTGTACACAAATCTTTAAACTTGTATTTCATTTCATTTCACATTTTTTACTTTTTGTTTAGCATCATCATTTCCAGACATTAATCTTATAAGATACCTATTGATTTTGTTTGATGGTTGGTTGTTTTCTGAACAATTTAACATACATGTATGTACTATGATAGAGATAGCCTCGTCTGTCTTGTTCTATATATTGATCAAGTATATGTATTAGACATGTTGAATTTAAAGATAGAGTATTCTATCAGTCAAGAGCATAATTACTTAATCAAGTCTTCAAAATTATTTATACTAGTAATGTTACAAATGAAAACAAAGCAGTGGCAGACCCAGAAATTTTCTTCATAATGGGGGCCTGTACAGCCATGCTTCAGTGATTCCCTATATAAACAACCAATTTTTTCCAAAAAAGGGGGCCTGAGCCCCCTGAGCCCCCACTCTAAATCCGCCTCTGCAAAGTTACTCAATCATGTAGTTAAAGCTAAATATTTGAGTATAAAAGACTACAATAAATGGGGAATGTGTCCATAGGACACAGATGATGCCCACTCTTGCAGATCATATAAAGTTATAAAACGACATAACTGAAGAACGGTAAAAGTGATGCTACCCAAATTTGTGCTTGATCTGAGTTTTTTTGGTAATAAGTATTGTGTATAAGTTTCATAACATTTGGTTGAGGCAAACTAAAGTTAGAGAATGGAAACGAAAAATTCAGCAATTATACCATTTGTTCTGGAACGGTTAAAGTAACACTTTTTGCCTCTTTCAACTGATTTTTATAGTTCGTTCTTATATTGTACTGTTACACCACTGTCCCAGGTTAGGGGGAGGGATGGGATCCCGCTAACATGTTTAACCCTGCCACATCGTGTATGTATGTGCCTGTCCCAAGTCAGGTGCCTGTAATTCAGTGGTTGTCGTTTGTTTATGTGTTACATACTTGTTATTCGTTCGTTTTTTTTGTACATAAATTAGGCCGTTAGTTTTTCTCGTTTGATTGTTTTACATTGTCATTTCGGGGCCTTTTATAGCTGACTGTGCGATATGGGCTTTGCTCATTGTTGAAGGCTGTACGGTGACCTATAGTTGTTAATTTCTGTGTCATTTGGTCTCTTGTGGAGAGTTGTCTCATTGGCAATAATACCACATCTTCTTTTTTATATGTACATAAACAGGATGAAGTTATTTTTCTCACAAAGCATTAAACTAATATTTAATGAACACTGAAACACTAATTGCCATTCTGACCCACTGTAGCCAAGTCCAAGAATAGTGAACAATTAATTTCTTTCTTGGCAGAAAATTTCCCCTAACAATTATCTGGAGCACCTCATGATATCAACATGTATCAGTGTGTGACAGAAGTAAAAAAAGTATGCTGATATTAAAACTTCTTCTGCATGTGCTGGCATAAGTATACATGTATATCTTTGCAAGTACACAGTAGAATATCATTAATAAGATGACATTATGATTTATATACTATTACCAATGAATTTAGATTTATCTGATCCCATATCTTCATTGACTTTGTAAATTAATAATTATAATTTTTTGGTAGGAGAATTAGGAGAATGAAGACTTGCAATGTGTTTTCTGGGATATTGTCATGTTTTTTTAAAGTACACTGTGAATCCTCCACAAAGATTTTTTTTAATAAACACTCTAGAAGTTGCCCAATGATAGAAAAATGTCAACCTTTAATACTCTATTTTCGAGAATTTACCTTTGAATGCAGACTTGATAATTATCGGGTAGCAGATATCTGGTATGTAAACTCTTTCCATAGCCCGTTTGAAGCATGTTGGAAGCCTGACCATGCAATCTTTGATTTCCAAAATTTGTCTCTTCTCAAATTTCAATTCTTTCACTTTGTACTAAGGCAAAATTTCAGTTAATGCATTTTCTAGGTTGTTTTTCCATTTCTACGTCGCCATCTTCAACATGTTCCTAGGTCGCGTTTATAAAGAGCATTCTGATTGGTCGATATAAATACTTTCTGGGGTCAAATATTACGTTATATAAGGTCACAAAAGTGAAACCTTGTAGGGTACTTGTTAGATCTTCGTATGTAGTATAACGTAGTATAACGAAATCCGAGATCTATATTTTAATTAGATTGTTTTAATTTCAAAACTTATAGGCTATTTATATAGTAACGGTTATAGTGTCAATTTTATTATGCATGCTTTGCTCAATGTGTATTATATCTTTTAAAAAGATATATTTTTTTAAGAGACTTCTTTTAAAAGTAAAGAGTATCAATTTTAATATGCATGCTTTGCTTGTATGTATAAAACGTTTTAAAGAAGACACATTTTTTTAGAGATTGTTTTATTAAACTGTATGTTTCTATACTTTTTCTATTTGTAATTAATATACTGAAAATCTGAATTAAGATCGGCAAAATTGCAAAACTCTATATAAATCGCTATTTTGCTGGAACTGGTATAATAGCACCTAAGAGGCTATTTTGCCGGAGCCGGCAAAATAGCCTCTGCCTATATGTTGATATCCTGGTCCTTTGATCACTAGTGAAAAGCTATCTCTTTGGTAATCATACCACATCAGGGCCCCCTCCCCTGGATCCGCCTATGGCTGCCTTTTATCGTAAATGGAACAGCATCCCCAAAACAGAGAAAAAAATCTAAAACTTTCAATCTATTTTTGTTTACCTGCTACGAACTTGACCGTTTAATAGCAATGTGAGTTTTTTATTTAGGGCTATACGTTATATCCGGAAACCGAAAAGTTGACGATCTGTCGATTACATCACAACAGTGCCATTCATATCTGATAAAGTCACTTTACATTCTTCATTCATTATCACGGATGACTAAATCGAAATAATATTTAATATATAACAAAAGTAATACAACATCCATTTAGATGTCGGCTGTGTCATCTTTTTAAATCCATGATAACAAAAATCATATTAAGATGTACATACGTCTGTCAGTTGTTTTTGTTGTTGTGGTAATTGAACAAGTCGCATAAATGGGGGTTCCATCGATTTCGGGATGGGTAAGGTGTTTGTTTTCCATGCATCGGTTAACATACCAATCTAATTAAAATATAGATCTCGGATTTCGTTATACTACGTTATACTACATACGAAGATCTAACAAGTACCCTACAAGGTTTCACTTTTGTGACCTTATATAACGTAATATTTGACCCCAGAAAGTATTTATATCGACCAATCAGAATGCTCTTTATAAACGCGACCTAGGAACATGTTGAAGATGGCGACGTAGAAATGGAAAAACAACCTAGAAAATGCATTAACTGAAATTTTGCCTTAGTACAAAGTGAAAGAATTGAAATTTGAGAAGAGACAAATTTTGGAAATCAAAGATTGCATGGTCAGGCTTCCAACATGCTTCAAACGGGCTATGGAAAGAGTTTACATACCAGATATCTGCTACCCGATAATTATCAAGTCTGCATTCAAAGGTAAATTCTCGAAAATAGAGTATTAAAGGTTGACATTTTTCTATCATTGGGCAACTTCTAGAGTGTTTATTAAAAAAAATCTTTGTGGAGGATTCACAGTGTACTTTAAAAAAAACATGACAATATCCCAGAAAACACATTGCAAGTCTTCATTCTCCTAATTCTCCTACCAAAAAATTATAATTATTAATTTACAAAGTCAATGAAGATATGGGATCAGATAAATCTAAATTCATTGGTAATAGTATATAAATCATAATGTCATCTTATTAATGATATTCTACTGTGTACTTGCAAAGATATACATGTATACTTATGCCAGCACATGCAGAAGAAGTTTTAATATCAGCATACTTTTTTTACTTCTGTCACACACTGATACATGTTGATATCATGAGGTGCTCCAGATAATTGTTAGGGGAAATTTTCTGCCAAGAAAGAAATTAATTGTTCACTATTCTTGGACTTGGCTACAGTGGGTCAGAATGGCAATTAGTGTTTCAGTGTTCATTAAATATTAGTTTAATGCTTTGTGAGAAAAATAACTTCATCCTGTTTATGTACATATAAAAAAGAAGATGTGGTATTATTGCCAATGAGACAACTCTCCACAAGAGACCAAATGACACAGAAATTAACAACTATAGGTCACCGTACAGCCTTCAACAATGAGCAAAGCCCATATCGCACAGTCAGCTATAAAAGGCCCCGAAATGACAATGTAAAACAATCAAACGAGAAAAACTAACGGCCTAATTTATGTACAAAAAAAACGAACGAATAACAAGTATGTAACACATAAACAAACGACAACCACTGAATTACAGGCACCTGACTTGGGACAGGCACATACATACACGATGTGGCAGGGTTAAACATGTTAGCGGGATCCCATCCCTCCCCCTAACCTGGGACAGTGGTGTAACAGTACAATATAAGAACGAACTATAAAAATCAGTTGAAAGAGGCAAAAAGTGTTACTTTAACCGTTCCAGAACAAATGGTATAATTGCTGAATTTTTCGTTTCCATTCTCTAACTTTAGTTTGCCTCAACCAAATGTTATGAAACTTATACACAATACTTATTACCAAAAAAACTCAGATCAAGCACAAATTTGGGTAGCATCACTTTTACCGTTCTTCAGTTATGTCGTTTTATAACTTTATATGATCTGCAAGAGTGGGCATCATCTGTGTCCTATGGACACATTCCCCATTTATTGTAGTCTTTTATACTCAAATATTTAGCTTTAACTACATGATTGAGTAACTTTGCAGAGGCGGATTTAGAGTGGGGGCTCAGGGGGCTCAGGCCCCCTTTTTTGGAAAAAATTGGTTGTTTATATAGGGAATCACTGAAGCATGGCTGTACAGGCCCCCATTATGAAGAAAATTTCTGGGTCTGCCACTGCTTTGTTTTCATTTGTAACATTACTAGTATAAATAATTTTGAAGACTTGATTAAGTAATTATGCTCTTGACTGATAGAATACTCTATCTTTAAATTCAACATGTCTAATACATATACTTGATCAATATATAGAACAAGACAGACGAGGCTATCTCTATCATAGTACATACATGTATGTTAAATTGTTCAGAAAACAACCAACCATCAAACAAAATCAATAGGTATCTTATAAGATTAATGTCTGGAAATGATGATGCTAAACAAAAAGTAAAAAATGTGAAATGAAATGAAATACAAGTTTAAAGATTTGTGTACAGATTCTGATAATAAATACATGTACATACAAATTTGATTAGGGAATCCACACCTCAAGGACTAATCCCAAAAAGGATTACTCAAGGGCCAGTGTTTTTATTTCCCCAAAATATGTTCAAAGATAAGAAGATGTGGATCCTAGAAATGGATTCACAGTGTCAATTTATAAATTTACTTTTAGATAACCTACATTTGTTGTACATGTATATCTGTAAGTAACATTTATTTAATAAAACATTCTGTCATTAACCAGAGGAACATATCAATTAAAATTTGTTTGAATAAACACTAGTATTAAATAAGTAACAGGGTATGTACATGTAGGTAGGGAAAACCTAAACAAACATGCATGTACATTTTTTCTTCATCTTTTAGTCTGGAAAAGCTAGTAATAATTATTAATGAAAAAAATTAAATGAGTTCCTCTGAAACGGATGTTAAATAATCTTAAATAAGCTTTATAATGGAGTCAGCATTGTTTTTGAAATCAGAGTATTCCATAAATATATTTAAATTGATATTTCACATGTTTCAGGAGCAGACATTCTTCCCTGGTCTATATAGCTTCATTGAAAGGAATCAGACACAGAAAGTTTGGGGAAATGAAATTGAGAGTCACTGTGAATAATTCACACACATGCTAGACATTAAAGAAATGGCCAGACACAGGCTCAGCTATAGAATCTGTATCAACTGGAAGCAACAGCATTTTCATCAGAAAACTAAAAAGGATGTGAAAAACATGAAACATGCATTTGGAAATGTTCAGCCGCCAAACAAATAGATATGCCAGGAAATGCAAATTGTTTGCTAATATAAATGTCAATGATGTCTGTACAAAAGCAAAGATATAAAAGCCTTTTTCATTTATACATGTAACAGTCATATACAATACAGATTTAAGACCATCAGACAATCTTTAAATCTTTGGAAGCCACAGCACCTAGTCCAAGACATTCCATATTTTCAACTCGTTATGAAGTCATATTTGACCAATCTGGTTTCCATTTATAGAAGTTTAAAAATAAGTTCTACATGTACATGACATGATGATCACCAGCAATGAAGGTGATATAGGATATAATATTCAAAGTAGAGAAGTATAAAGTGAATTTGAACCTCCCACCATAATAGCATTCTGCACATTTTGGATCACATATGGATCAAGCTGTTGTACTTGTGAACTAAAAGATTGTTGCTTGGTGGTTGTCAGGTACATTGTACATGTTGACAGTGCTATACGTCTATTAAATAAAATGCAGTTCAGAACAGTTATATTTTAGTAATAGATAGATTTCTTCTGTCTTTATTTGAACGGATAAACCAGATAATTAAAAAAAAAAATTCTGACAACTATGTCTGTTCTGGAACTGAAGACTACCTTCACTTTTTGTATCTTCCTTGTTCATTTTCCTCCAGATAAATTACTGACTATCACCATGAGGCTTATAACATGTATAAGTAGGCTTAATTCCTCCAAGGTCTCCAGTTATGTCCTGTCTGTGACAAAAGTTTCAGAATACAAGACATGCAAGACATGAAATGCTAATCGGACAACAACATTTACTATTTATATGAAGTTTTATATTTCAGAGGGTAGAAATCATGGATTTGTCATACTTAAAATCATAATCATGATAATGTATAAGGAATCCTTATGTTTAGAAGTTTCTGTCAAGACATATGTCCATTGTCCTTATTCCATTTTCATTGCTCAGTGCTCCTTAAAAAACTACATGTGTAGTGATTTTATCAAGTGAATTTGTGGCATATTATAAGTAATACGATATTTGGTATACATGTATGGGATCAAAGGTTTACATGTGTTGTCAGACGGGGTTCAACTTGTCTCTCAATTTTTTGTCGAGCCCCGGGTTCTCATTAAGGCGAGTCCTGGACTCATCATAATCAGTCTGGACTCATCATTTTCAAAACTTGCGAGTCCCAAGATGCATGAAAATTGTAAAATGTTGTATCAACTGAGCACATACATGTATATCGCCATTTTATCACAAAAGTTAAAAAATAATCTAAATTTTGTGTAATTAGGGATAGTGGTGCGGCGGCGTTAACTCACTTCTTAAAAGCTTAATATTGCAGAAGGTAGAAGATCTCGATGCTTCATACTTTGTATATAGATGCCTTATGATATGAAGTTTCCGTCTGTCATATGTCTATTGTCATTGACCTCATTTTCATGGTTCAGTGACTACTTGAAAAAAAAGTTCAGAATTTTTGTAATGTTAATTTCTCTCTTATGAGTAATTTGATAACTATATTTGGTATGTGCGTACCTTGCAAGGTCCTAATGCCTGTCAGACAGTTTTCATTTGACCTCGACCTCGTTTCATGGATCAGTGAATAAGGTTAAGTTTTCATGGTCAAGTCCATATCTCAGATACTATAAGCAATAGGTCTACTATATTTGGCGTACATGTATGTAATGATTGTAAGGTGTACATGTCCAGCTGTCAGGTGTCATCTGACCTTGACCTCATTTTCATGGTTCAGTGGTACTAGTTTAGTTTTTGTGTTTTGGTCTGTTTTTCTAATACTGTATGCAGTAGGTCAACTATATTTGGTGTATGGAAATATTTTACAATGTACATATCAGTCTGGCAATCAGTCTGGCAGGTACATGTATTATTTGACCTTGACCTAATTTTCACGGTTCATTGCTCAATGTTAAGCTTTTGTGTTTTGGTCTGTTTCTCTTAAACTTTAAGCAATATGTCAACTATATTTGGTGTAAGGAATGATTGTAAGGTGTATGCATGTATGTATGTCTGGTAGGTATCATCTGACCTTGACTTCATTTTCATGGTTCATTGGTCCATATGGAATTTCCATGGTTTGGTCTGTTTGTTTTATACTACAAGCAATAGGTCATCTATATTCTGTGTATGGAATGATTGTATTAAAGGTGTACATGTATTTCCGCCTTGGTTTATCTGACCTTGACCTCGTTTTCTTGGATCATAAATGTTAATGTGATACTTGTAGTAAAACTTTATAAGTAGGACTATCAACATAAAATCAATGGTCAGTATAGTAGGCGAGACATTTCAGCGTGTGCACTCTTTTTTCAACTTATAAGTCTACAGATATCTAAATAAAAAATTATGGTATATACATTAGGTAAAAATAAAATCAAACAAAAGACGGTGTTCATGTGACCCCAACCTCATTTTACCCATCAGTGATTAAGGTTATTTTTTTGTGCAAATTAATATATATTGTGGTTAATTCCATTTCTCAGATTCTACACAATGTATATAAAGCAGTAGGTCAAAGTTTACATATGAACAAGAAGAGATACTATACATGAAACGTTTATATATATGTTAATGATGATGGATAGCTGCTTACAGTCCAGTGGCAAATTAATATGCATATTCAGGACAAGAATATGTTTATGTGATGTGAATAATAACCCTGCTTTGTTATAGACCGACAGCAATTAAAATAGCAAAAAATAACTAAATGACATCTATAATGAAACCTACATGTATATATAAGGCTTCAATAGAAGGAAAGGCAATTGTCTATGCAATATGTCAAGCTCTACTCTTTAATGTGTCTATAAAAGTAGTGAATAAATTAAGCAGAAATATCTTGTTCATTGTGTCTGTGATAATCATTCATGTACATGTACATCACATCACTGCATGTACAAAAATGTACCACATCTATTTTATATAGATCTGTCATATGCATTTAATACACAATTCTGAAAATAAAAAAATAAAAACTATAGGCCATGCAACATGTACTACAAGTATACAACAGGGTTTATGCTTGGTAGAGGCACATGAAATGTGATTGAATTTAATGAAATAGTTTTTGTGTCACCTGAGACCATTGTTGCAAAATGTGACACTTAGGGATTACAATCAGCATAATTGTGCAGCAGCATAAACTATTTGAATAAAGTTTGATATTTCAGAAGATAGATGACCTGGATGTTTTATACCTTGTACACAGATACATTTTTGTGTACCTTATATGTGTAGTCACTAAGTTTCTGTCCAACAAATGTCCATTGTCCTTGACCTAATTTTTATGGTTCAGTGACTGCTTGATTAAAAATTATGCTTTTTTTCTCATTTGAAATTTTCACTTTACAAATGTATTATCTCAGATTCTATAAGCAATAGGTCAACTATATTTGGTGTATAGAATAATTGTTAGATGTACATGTGCATTTTGGACCAATCTAATTAAAATATAGATCTCGGATTTCGTTATACTACGTTATACTACATACGAAGATCTAACAAGTACCCTACAAGGTTTCACTTTTGTGACCTTATATAACGTAATATTTGACCCCAGAAAGTATTTATATCGACCAATCAGAATGCTCTTTATAAACGCGACCTAGGAACATGTTGAAGATGGCGACGTAGAAATGGAAAAACAACCTAGAAAATGCATTAACTGAAATTTTGCCTTAGTACAAAGTGAAAGAATTGAAATTTGAGAAGAGACAAATTTTGGAAATCAAAGATTGCATGGTCAGGCTTCCAACATGCTTCAAACGGGCTATGGAAAGAGTTTACATACCAGATATCTGCTACCCGATAATTATCAAGTCTGCATTCAAAGGTAAATTCTCGAAAATAGAGTATTAAAGGTTGACATTTTTCTATCATTGGGCAACTTCTAGAGTGTTTATTAAAAAAAATCTTTGTGGAGGATTCACAGTGTACTTTAAAAAAAACATGACAATATCCCAGAAAACACATTGCAAGTCTTCATTCTCCTAATTCTCCTACCAAAAAATTATAATTATTAATTTACAAAGTCAATGAAGATATGGGATCAGATAAATCTAAATTCATTGGTAATAGTATATAAATCATAATGTCATCTTATTAATGATATTCTACTGTGTACTTGCAAAGATATACATGTATACTTATGCCAGCACATGCAGAAGAAGTTTTAATATCAGCATACTTTTTTTACTTCTGTCACACACTGATACATGTTGATATCATGAGGTGCTCCAGATAATTGTTAGGGGAAATTTTCTGCCAAGAAAGACATTAATTGTTCACTATTCTTGGACTTGGCTACAGTGGGTCAGAATGGCAATTAGTGTTTCAGTGTTCATTAAATATTAGTTTAATGCTTTGTGAGAAAAATAACTTCATCCTGTTTATGTACATATAAAAAAGAAGATGTGGTATTATTGCCAATGAGACAACTCTCCACAAGAGACCAAATGACACAGAAATTAACAACTATAGGTCACCGTACAGCCTTCAACAATGAGCAAAGCCCATATCGCACAGTCAGCTATAAAAGGCCCCGAAATGACAATGTAAAACAATCAAACGAGAAAAACTAACGGCCTAATTTATGTACAAAAAAAACGAACGAATAACAAGTATGTAACACATAAACAAACGACAACCACTGAATTACAGGCACCTGACTTGGGACAGGCACATACATACACGATGTGGCAGGGTTAAACATGTTAGCGGGATCCCATCCCTCCCCCTAACCTGGGACAGTGGTGTAACAGTACAATATAAGAACGAACTATAAAAATCAGTTGAAAGAGGCAAAAAGTGTTACTTTAACCGTTCCAGAACAAATGGTATAATTGCTGAATTTTTCGTTTCCATTCTCTAACTTTAGTTTGCCTCAACCAAATGTTATGAAACTTATACACAATACTTATTACCAAAAAAACTCAGATCAAGCACAAATTTGGGTAGCATCACTTTTACCGTTCTTCAGTTATGTCGTTTTATAACTTTATATGATCTGCAAGAGTGGGCATCATCTGTGTCCTATGGACACATTCCCCATTTATTGTAGTCTTTTATACTCAAATATTTAGCTTTAACTACATGATTGAGTAACTTTGCAGAGGCGGATTTAGAGTGGGGGCTCAGGGGGCTCAGGCCCCCTTTTTTGGAAAAAATTGGTTGTTTATATAGGGAATCACTGAAGCATGGCTGTACAGGCCCCCATTATGAAGAAAATTTCTGGGTCTGCCACTGCTTTGTTTTCATTTGTAACATTACTAGTATAAATAATTTTGAAGACTTGATTAAGTAATTATGCTCTTGACTGATAGAATACTCTATCTTTAAATTCAACATGTCTAATACATATACTTGATCAATATATAGAACAAGACAGACGAGGCTATCTCTATCATAGTACATACATGTATGTTAAATTGTTCAGAAAACAACCAACCATCAAACAAAATCAATAGGTATCTTATAAGATTAATGTCTGGAAATGATGAT